ACAACCCAGGACAGGGGAAGCAAAGAAGAACAGGATCAAACGGCACAGGTGCTCAAGCTCATCAGCTGGTAATGATTAACGTAAGAAGGGGCACTAAGCCAAGGCACCGGTGGCCAACACCGGTATTGATTAACCAATGAGACTGGCACTTGAAGCAGCCAATAGGGGGTAACGGAAGTGAGAGCGGCGTCCTCGACCAGGTCAACCACCAACAAATCAGGCCGTACTAAACAATCCCTGCCTGTTTGTTTTCACTGACCTTGGGCAACCTAAGAAGCAGATTTTTTTTGTTTACTTGCTCCCGAATAAATGAAAAAATCTCTAAAATGTCTAAAGAATTAATGCTGACTTTTATATTATTCTGTATTGCCTTGTGTTTGTTTTACACTCCTGACCAAATTAATGTGGGGGTAGGTCTTCTCATGTTAATTTTATAAAGTGGTTGGAATATTATAATTTATTATCCAATATTGTATCGTGAATTTTTATAAGATGAGAAAATAATTTTTGATTTAGACTGTTACTGAGTAGTAAAATAGAAAAAATATGCATAAAGACTGATACACAATTTCATTGTAAAAGATTGTTAATGCATAAGCTGATCTTGTGCCAATCAACATTTTCCCAGAATACTTAGAGTCTGAAGAGAAGATATATTAAATTATGGGGTGTACACTGAAATATTAGGATAAAGGCTATTGTTTTGTAAGAATAGCATACATCACATCCCCCAAACCCAAACCAAACATTTATAATAGCACTTCAAAATCTTTAAATGTCGCAAGGTTTTACAAGTAAAATGGGAAGCTTTCTTAATTTAATCTGCTTCATGCATATGTACAAATGCATGGTATTAAACAGGCTAAATTGAAACATAAGCCAATTTAAATTTAAATGATTAATATTTAAGCAGCGACGGATTATTTTCTAAAATGCTGGATAATGGAAATCACAATTTCTTGTTTTAATTATTAAGAGCTGAGTGGAAATTATTAATAAATGATAGCAATTACCAATTGCTATAATAGAAACTAAATAGAACTGTATCTGTTATTCAAACAAAGATCTGTGACACTTTCATGCAACTGACATTATGTCTGGTGGGAGGCTACATTTTACAGGAGCTGTACAGACACTAGAGGACTGTAATGTTAAGTAATAATAATAATAATAATAATAATTGATAGTTTATTGATCCCCATGGGGAAATTCTCTTTACGCCTCCCCCAACTTGCTCTTTGTAGGCAGAGTAAGCTGGCTGCGAAGGGCAGCTACCTGTTACGGCACCCAGGAAGTTGGGGGTTAAGGGTCTTGCTCAAGGACTCACAGACATGCCAATGCTGGGTTTGAACTGGCGACTTTCTGATCACAGGCACACAGGCTTAGCCCAATGAGTTATGTGCTGCCCCCTAAAGTAACTAAAGGGAACAGTAATCAAAAATACTGTTTTGTAAAGGTTCATTATTCTATAAATGATGAGAATCCACTTCAGAGCAGTCAGAGCACCTTTGCCCAAAAATATAGGGGCTGCTAAGATCCGTGGGCAACAGCAGCCTTCCTCCCCCTTAATTTGCACAGTGGGTAAAAGGTGGTCATATAAACCCCATGAATGCAATGGGATTTTTGCCTTATGTCTCCTCCAAGGAATTAAAATTTTGAAAGCTTTGAAAGGAGTCAATAACTTTATCTTTAATAGCCATTAATCCTTTTCAAATAAAGAAAACAGTCATTAAATGTGAGTGAGGACAGAGTATGTCATAACTTTTCAAGTGAATTTTAGGGAATTGCGAGTGGCCTGTGGTGGCTTGGGATGGCATGTGGTGGCTTGGGATGGCATGTGGAGATAAAAAATAAATAAATAAATAAATAAAACATGCAGGCTTGGGGATTCAGGCTCTACCAAATGCTGGATGAAACATCTCATCCACTGTGTCTGGGCAGGCAGGTCATTTCTGATAAAGGAGGCTGGTTGCCCTGGTTCAACACTTTCTTTCTGATAAAAAAAATACAGATCTACACATATATAAGTGAGTGTGTTAAAATGACATGCAGGTAAAGGTGTCAAATGAGTGGAACAGCCAGCAAGGAAAGCACTTTTGAGAAAAGGCAGTGCTGGATCAGGGCCTCAGGCAAAAATCTATTTCTGAACAGTTCTTTTCAGTAAGTGTTTGCCTACTTTGAGAATCGTATACATTTTTCAGTGATGGATTGGGGAAAAGTGCCGTTGCTTTCTGGCAAATTAAGAAAGCAAGAATGTCCACTTTGGAAAATTCTGAGTCTGCCAAGGCATTATCAGTAAACGAACCATCTGTCACCTTCTCTATCCTCTGGCACTTGAAATAAATAAATACAATGATGCAGACGAAGAAAAACATTGTCACAGGAGCACACTGCCCATATATCTTAATACTGATCTATATGTACACACTGCTGAAGCAAAATTCATTTGATCCTAAGATAAAATTATCAAGTTATATTCCCACATATATAACCATGGCAACAATGGATTCAAACTGGTCTGTTTGTCTGGTTTTATCTTACTGCTGGAGGCTACACATTTTGTATTTTGAACCATCTGCACAAATACACCAAACACAGCTTGTAAGATCGTATAAATGCAAACAGCACCATTTATATGCTTGATTTTGGAGGAAAAGATTTTTACCAACTATGCTGATTCCTATTAAATTCTCCTGTCATTACCATACTTGCATTATTATAACTTACCTCCAACTTTAACACACTATTTAAAATATTTATATGCATATTATGAGTTAATTTTATTACATCTAATACGAAGCACTTCTATTATACTAGTGAAACTTATCATTAACCGAAATGGAACTGATTAGCTTATTTTAAAAATATAATATATCTTACCACAATAAAAACAACAACTTACACTGATTGCTTAGTTTCCAAAAGCACCAAAGAGGGACAAAATACCCCACTGGATATATAAGAGAGAGAGTTGAGAAAAACCATCCCCCTTCCTGCAGCTGAGGGAGTTTTACTTTCATGTTAAATTTTAAATACGCACTCTCTACAGATCCTGGCAGGAGATGTATTAAAATATGTATGCGTTAGTTTCAAATCCAGATCCGGCACACCCAGAGTACAAACCTTTCTACAGCTTAGTTTAAAGTCCATATAACTGGAGTAATGTGGACAGATGAGTGTGTACCACAGCACAAACACAATGACACCAAACAAATTCTCATCAAGGTCATTGTTATTCTTCCATGGTATAATCTTATGAATTTGTGAAAATTCTGAATTAAGAGACAGACACATTGTTGGCACTATCGGGGGGAAAAGGAGGTATATTGATTTAATTAAAAAAAAAATTTTTTTGTTAAAAAATCCATGGCAAAATTTCTTCAACATCTTACAATAGTGATCACGTTCGAAAGTGGCCAACAGCAATAAACAACAATTACCTGTGCATTCCTTGAATTCACATTGTTCTAACATACAATGAAAGATACCGTTAACTGAATTCGCATTGTTCTCACACATAATCAGAGATACTGTTAACTGTTAAGATACTGTCACTCACACAATACCTCTGATTTGGTACAATGTAAAAAAAAATAATAATCTGCATGTGATTCAAAAGAAAGCCGAAAGCAAACAAAACCAGAATTAAGGAGGGAGGTGGGGGGTGGGGGGGGGAATGCAGCATAAAAAAACAAGAGACAACAGCCCACGGCCCATAATTCCCTGGGGTTTGGGGCGCAAAGGCGACTCCTTGATAATGAAAAAAGGAGGTGAGACTAAAAATGAATAGAAACTGTCAATAGTTATACAAAACCACATCCATTTCACAGCACAAAAAAGCATGCTCACGCCTAGTCTACAGCAAGATAGATTGGCAAAAGCATGTCATATTTCTTTTACAGATTACCTTTTTCTATTAAAGTAGCAGCAAAACCGTCGTCTCTTTTAGGGATGGAAGTGATGCATAACGGAATCATTTTACAGTTTAGATAAGACATGAATGTCAGGTGAGGGGAAAAAAACATGAAATACATTTTAAACAGTTAAAAACCTTTTTCTCTGAACGTCATTAAATAATGTAATGAAAGTAAGAACTTCTGAGCTGTCTTGAAATAATTACAACCAGCATGCTCCAAAGCAGTGAACATCAGCAGTGAATCACAACTGCCCAGATGCCATGTTTGGCTGTGCAAAAACAGAGGACCTCATAACCAACGTTGCTGGCTGAAAGCACAGAACCACAGTCTGCTAATGCTAGTACTTTACTGCAAGAATTCAGGCTACAAATAGCATATAACCATGAGTTCCATCAAATATTACTTATCACAAATATAGAATAGACACATTTCAAGAAACTACACTATTTTCAGAGTGATAAGTTTTAAGATACTCAAGATCAGCAGGTCAACATCTGCACTGGAATTACTTTAACATTACATACAGACGAACACATATAACCATTTAGCATATTGCAACAGTACGAGCAAAATCATTTCACCTCTCTCATTCATCTAAGTGGTTTGTCAGCCTAATAATCATTTCCTGTTCATCTGAGACTTGCAGTTACTACAAACAACTGTTGCCAAGAGTCTAGAACAACATTTTGAATGCAGTACCCATATCACAGCAATCTGTACAAGAAGAATCAAGGCTTCCTCAGATAAAAAGTCCTAGCAGAATTACACTACCACAGAATCCTGACAGCACACTGCTGACTGGTTTGACTGAACAGTATCGGATGTATGCGTGTTTTAGATGCCAATGTCTCATTTAAGGGTGATTAAGGCTGCTGTTTGTTCAGCTTTGACTAGGATGGCAATTGCAGCAAATCTCCGGAGTGACAAGGATATTAAGAATAATTGCTTCTGTCCGACTGCAGCCCCCCCCCCGCCCCCCCAGCTGTATCCACAATCACTTACCCTCTAAGGAACTCATACTTACGCTTGCATACATGACACATGGACAGAAACATGCCTATTTAGCATGTTCTTCATACTCACACTTTGCTGGGAGGTCATAGCCACCGGTGATCTTGGCATTGCCCGTTTCACAACCATTCAGTGTATGACACTCGTCATACAGGCAGGGTCCAGCGGCTTTGTGTATGCAGCCATCCACTGGAAGAGAAGAGAGGCTGGTCAGTCCACTATTAGGCAGGGATGGGTGGATGGATAGACAGACAGATGGAGCAATCGATATAGACAGACAGACAGACAGACAGATAGATAGATTTTTACAGCGATAACTTTCGGCTGAAACATTAGTGAAGGCACCACTTTTTGTCGAATGTGCCATGAAGCAGCACTGACACAAAAAAATTCTTCAAAAAACAGAATATAATATAAAGTGCAAAATAAAAACAGGGGGCCTCTCAATCGCCTAACAGTTAAAGAAATATAAGAGTAATTTTTCAATCATAGAAATGCTGAACAGATGTTTCCCATTTTCATTTATCAAGTTTAAGATCATTATACTTCTGAATTACCATAAGTGGCTTATGTGTCACATTACTGTGTTAAGTCCACCCCACCCCCCCACACGGCACCTTTTCTGACCACTAACCTGAAAGACCTTTGCAGTCTGAAAATTTCAGAGACTGCTGGGTAAACATCTCACAGACATTTCCTACTATTCTCCATTAACAGAAAATGTATTTTACATGAAATTGCAATTCCGCCAAATTATGATTTCTTAATTCTCATCTTCTAATTCACTAATAAACATCCAAAATCAATCATAACATTGTTATCTACAGTAAATGTTGAAAACTCCTAAACATACTGCATATAGTAACAGAGGTTATTCAGTTGGAAACATTCCAAAAAAAAAAAAGAAAGAAAAAAAACAACATATCGACCCCCCACCTGCATCGGACTTTTTTTTTTAAGCCAGGATATTCGTAACGATGACCCATCGTGCACAACGAAACAGAGGGGTAGGATTCTAAATGATCTGTCTCCAAAAGCGGACACCCCGTGAAGAGTCATATATAAAAGGTCCATGAAATATCGCAGGTTCTGTTTTTATATGTTTAGCAGAAAGCTAACTTGCCTGTGAACCTGAAACAGATCCATCTGGAAAAATGACAGAACTGCACACAAACTTCATTTCTCAATGAAAACTGTTTTTCAATACATCCCCCCTCCCCCCACACACACACACAATATAATTTAAAAATTGTCTGGTTTCTCTATTTTTCAAAAAAAAAAACTAGAAATACAATGAACAGATTTGATTTGAGATGATGATCTTATACAAAATATCATACAAAAGGAAAGCTTTACTTGTCTAGTGAGAGAATCAAGGGCACATTTATTGACATATTTGCAACTGACCTATTATTACGGTAAGAATTACTTTACAATTAAGAATTTGGGCTCTCATACAGTGATTAAATGTTATTCTGTTAAAGCCCTGAGCTTTTCATAAATTTGAAAGGATTGTCTAGTATTTCACAAGGCAGGGTTTCCAGCTTCATTCAGTCAAGTACAGCAGCTGGATCCTAAATTTTCCTCTGCTAAAAGTTCATGTCTATCAATCAACTTTAATGAACTGAAGGACAGAAAGTTGAGAGAGACTGATTCCAATACTCCCTTGAAAAGGTATCTAGCAATTTTCAAAAGGAACCTTTTTTCTAAGGACATTTCTGCACCTTTATAAGCAAATGCAGATAATCTTTCAGCCATTTTATCATCACCAATGTATTACTTTATAATCTACAGTATGTGTTTCACATTCTTAGTGAATTTGTGTACACGGAACTGACAACTGACAAAACAAATGCATCCGATTGATGACGCTATCCTGATACTGTGAGTTGTGATTTAAGTGGCCTCTCTTGCAGTGAGAAGTTGGGTGGTTGACAAACTCCTGTGAGAACACAACAGAAAGCTACAAAAATTAGCATGTAACATTAAAAACAGTGGTACTGCATACAGAAATAAAACGCAAAGGGAAAATCTGGCCAGCATTCAAATAAGGGACAATAACCAGACTTCAAAACAAAACATTCAAACACTACAAATCAGAAAAGGTGGCAGTATAAACAAGAGGCTGCAACATCTGAACAGCATAAATACTGTCTGTATTGCATAGGATAGTGAATTCCAGCCACTTTCATGTATTTCCGTGCAGGATTAATAACTGCCACTGCAGTTAAACTATTTTTCAACTACAGCAGTACATCCAAAAACTTTAGGAAGCCAAGTGTATGGGTCACCACCACAACTGGCACTGTAAAAGCTGAATTTTAGGGTCACCACCACAACTGCCACTGTAAAAGCTGAATTTTAGGGTCACCACCACAACTGCCACTGTAAAAGCTGAATTTTAGGGTCACCACCACAACTGCCACTGTAAAAGCTGAATTTTAGGGTCACCACCACAACTGCCACTGTAAAAGCTGAATTTTAGGGTTCCAGATGGGGAAAATTTCAACCATTTAAATAAGTTATAAAAGATGAGTTTAGAATCAGGAAAGATTAAAACATAAATATGATTACATTAGCCAGTATGTGATAAACATGAGTGGTTATTAACATCAATATTATACCATATATTTTCCTTGAGTCGCCTCGCAGGCTCTACTTTACAGGAGGGCTCTTGTACTGGGTCTACAGAAGTAGGGATGTATCTAGGCCATCTGTCATCCCTGTGTTCCTTTTTCTCTCAACAAACCCATTTCAAGACAAAACCAGGCAAGGTTATCCATCCAGGCAAAGGGGTGTTTTTTCCTCCTCACCCACTCAGAAATAAAAATGAAAGCTTGGTGTTTTTTTAAAAAAAAAAAAAAAAAAAACATTTTTCATCCTGACTTTTTATCAGAGATGAAATCACTGTTACTTGTCCTGTCCCCTTTTAAGTTGAGGAGATGGTGAAGTCCATCCACCGGATTCATAATTTCAAATTACATTTGTGACCCTGTGTGATAAAATACTTACGAAGAAACCTATTTATTAAAAATCAAAAGGCATCCATTCTGTCAATGTCACCTGAAGGCAAGTGTTTCACTGTGGATGAGATTAAGGATTAAGACAACCTGCAAGATTAAGTCGGATCATGGATTTTAGAAAGCAGGAGAAAACAATACTGTAATAGACTAATACTCAAAATACCCCTGGATATGGGGAAGTTTCTAACATATCAGGTTTCCAGCCATACCTGAAACCTCAACACGAAAAGGCATTCATACAGTACTCAGATGGTAACTGCCATTACCTGAAGAATACAGGACATTTATCATAAAAACGGTCAAATAACTCAAGTTCAAATGATAAGATAAAATGGCAACAAGGTCCACCTACAATTTTTTGCTCAATAAAGTCATGATCACACACAATTATATTGTAAAATACTACAGCACGTTGACAACAGGTATACAGTACATGTGGTCTTAATATAATTGCTGAATACGTTAAGTTGGGTTTTTTTAATTATTATATTTTGTCAATACTGCCTGAAAGAATCTTTGCAGATCAAAAATAAATCAATGACGTAAGTAAGTCCCAGAGTGACCCAGATGCAATCTTGGCATCAATTTATTTTCTAATATAACTGGGATTTCAAAGTAATTCCCAAATGATTCTGGAGTTAAAGACCTCAGTGCGATTACACAGAAATGGGCTGTTGTCTTCATTAACTAAGTGTGGCATTTACAGTCACCTCTGTGGAGAAAGATGCTGCATTACTATGCAGATCATCGGCCTCGTCCCATGAAATCAGTCTTGCCTAAAAGTCCATGCATTTCCAAGCAGAGTCTCGTTTATTTCCCACCTTCAATATAACATGGCACTCGGGATTTAACACGGACCCGCAATCGGAAAGGAACACCTGAAAAAAGCATGGGTGATTAGGCACATACATAATTAAAGTGGCACCCAACTGAAGCATTCACATTGTGTGCTTCCCGTCAGACCCCACATTCGGAGACCTCTGACTCTTTTCTCTATTACAGTCATTTACATTTTAATGACTTTTTTGTTTTTGTTTTTTTAAATACTTTGAAGCAGTTAAGGAGGAAGACTTGTCACCAGGCAGAAAAATACCATGAGGGCACTGTGGTATCTCAACCGAGCACTGGTAAACCTTAAGGACTCCAAACTGGTTGGGAGAGAAAGTGAAATGTCAGAGTCAATATAAACTTTACATGTGTGTGTTAATCTTTCCAAGGAGTGGGAATGCAAAATTCTATATATACCACATCCGTACATTATTTACACAAAAACTAAATATATTTTTGTCAATATTTGTCTGTCGTAATAACTGAAATCCTGCAGATGCAGAAGTAGCATAGGGAGGGTCAGTCGCATGTAATAAATCGACCTGGGAAGCAGTGCCTGCCAGGCAAATAAATAATGTATATGCAAAACATGACACCAACGGAGTTACAATGCTGGAGATTACAGCCAACAGGCTTTCCCACAGCACTGGCTTCTCATCGATGACTCGCTTTCACAGCCTGCAACGCCTTTTGCCATCGCAACATAATTCTTGGGGAAAAATATCCTTTTCTGTTGCTTTGCACAAAAGTGAAATTTCATCCAATGTTTACAGCTCTCAGGTAATTTATCTACCCCTTTTGGGGGGGGGGGGGGGGGTTTAAAGACTTGGGGAAAACATATTAGAAAAAGCCTCTGCTAAGCGATATACAGATGGTCATGCTAACTGGAATATCTTAAGTCACCTTCAAACCACTGCACCACCTGGGCCTTTTAAAGGGAAGTTTCCCTTCCAGTCAACATGTCAGAGCATCTGCTCCCGTCTGACTTTTCTCACCCCGGTGAAATGAATCTGTTAATCCCTCATCCATCTAAAGCTGCCTTCTCAAGCCCAGACATACACATGCGTACAAACACAAATGCACTGACCCAACCCCCATTTCAGGGGCTATGTGGGATAGTTTTATTCATCTTCACCCAACATTTCATCTTGAGAAGACATCCTGGTACTTCTCCCTGAAGCCTGCTCTCCTCCAGTGAGGACATCTTTGGCCTCTCCATCTATGGGGGAGTGTGAGCGGGGGGTACTCTCAGACCCTCAGGCTCTGCCTAGACCAAGGCAGCATGCAGTTTCCAATGCCCTAGTAAAGCTTACCATCGTTCTTTTCCAGCTAAAGCAC